TAATTTATTTTAATAATTATTTAATAACTAAATTAGAGAATTTATACTTTTATAGTAAATTATATAGTAAATACATTTCCTTTTTCATTGAGCATTAATCGCATTTTAACAAAATGTATTTTTCTTTCTCTACGTCAAAATGTGTATAACACAATATATTAATTAATAAAGTCAAATAATTCTTAAAGATATTTAAGGATTGGCATTACGTATGATTGTTGCTCATATTTTTATCTACTTGTATGATATTTAACAATCTTTTTAATAGCGAATGTCATAATTCATCTCTTAAAAATCTTTTAGTAAAATCTATTACTAAAATCTATTACTAAAATCTAATTCAGTCCTCTTATAATTAAAAATTCAGCAATCAAATTTTGTTGCTTCTTTTATTACAATAAATAGATTAATTTTAATTATTAAACTATTTCAAATATTTGAGATAAAAAAAATATCTGAGAGAGAGAAAGAGAGAGAAATAAAAACAGAGATTTGATTTGTATTAAAATTGGCCAGTAATCAAAATAAATAATTGGCTGCGAAAATAAAGGAAAATGATTCTACATGATTCCGTGGCAAGCAAAATTACTTATGTATGTAAATTGGTGGTAAATTTTTAAACGTTGCTTTAGTCTTGAACTTACAGTTACGCCCGGGTAAACATCGCTTGTTTTACCTGCATTCCAATGTAATCCTAATACGTCGCTATTAACGACGTTGGCGCGGCGGAGTTTTAAGGATCGTTTGATAAGCAGGTCAAAGCGATACTTACTTACGGGGCTGTACGACATTGTTTTGGTTGAGAGGGTCTCTTTTTCCGTTGTTGTGGCGTTAAACAGCGCGTGGATCAAGTACCGGCGTGTATACCAAGAATTTTAATGCGTTTGGTAGGAGAGATGGGTGCGCACTTATATAAGTCACAAAGCAACCAGATTTTTCAAGTAGTCGGTGGGATTTACTGAGCTGACCAGCTGACCATTCGAGAGAATAAGATAAAACGTAATAGAAGAAAAATCGATGGTTATTTCGTTTGAGACAGCTAAAAGACACCTAGGAAAGGAAAATCGACGACGTGAATGACGCTATCGATTAGAATGGAAAAGCGACGTTCAACAATTTGGATTTTACGTTTCTTTTATTTCGCGATTTTCATTAATTTAGTGACCGCTAAAAGTGAATATACGAAATTGTTTGAACGGTGCACGAAAGAGAAGAACACTTTTGACTGCTTCAAGCGGCGTGCCTTGGAGATCCTTGATGCGGCGATCTATGATAACTCTGTATATAAGATCAACGACTACATTTCAATCACCAAAGATGCAGCATCAACCGCGAGAAATTTCAATTCGATGACATCTGAAAATAATACAGAGTTAAGTCTTGATCAGAAATTGGATAATAAGTTTTACGAATTTCTATCATCGAGAAGCGTGAAACTGACAATACCGGGCAATGCTTTTGAAGGTAATAACACACACATATTCGAAAATTATTATTAATAAATTGTGATATTAAAAAAAAAGCTTTGAATATTTTAAATTAGATTATTGCGATATATGTATATCATAATTTATAAAATATCTTATTATTAATATTACTTCACGCTAAGATAGCAAGTTGCAATGGATATACAATCGACAGAGAAAATCTTTTTTAAAGAAAAAGGATTAACAGTATTTAAATAAATATTTATAATATTTCAGGGAGAAAGAAGAAGGGTAAGGGCTATGGATATTTACTAATAGCAGGTGCCGTGTTAGCAGGTAAGTTTTTTCTGTAAAATATTTTAATACATAAAGAAAAAAGAAATAACTTTGATATCAAAGGACTTGATAAGGTTTTAATATAATGAAGAGAGAGAGATGAAAAGTTTAATTAGTTTAATAAAATTTTCAAACAATATTGCTCACCTTTTTGTAATCAACTGATGTAAATATATTGAATAAAATGTTTTCTCTTTTACTGTTTCAAAAGTGGTTTTTATCTTATCTGTTTTCTCACATTTTGAACAATTTAAAACAAATAAATATTTTAATTATTACAATTTGTATTTCTTATTATTCTTACAATATAATTCTGAAATCAATCATTAGGAAATAAAATTCTTCCAGTTTTGTTTATGAAAACATTAATTATTTGTTTAGGCATGATGGCGCAATTAGCGTATGGAAAAATAGCTTTTCTCGCCGGTACGGCCTTGCTGACAGCGAAAATGGCCTTAGTTTTAAGCGCGATAGTCGGCTTGAAAAAGCTCGCATCAAGCGGAGGAGGTGGTCATGAAGTAATCTATGCGACAGCATCCGAACATCATGGAGGTGGTGGTGGTGGAGGATACGGTGGCTGGCAACGAGCAATGGAAGTTGTTCCACCAACTTGAATTATACTCGATTTATATCACAAGCTCAAAACTTTATGATATAGTTACCGCATGTAATATACGCCTTCCTCGATGTCTCTAAAAAAATGTTCTTTGGAAACATTTTAATTATTATTAATTATTTTATATACATACTATTTATTATTTATTATTTATATATTATTTATTTAAGAGAATTGATACATACATTATACATATTATTTTTTTTATCGACTTGATACAAACGTATCATTCCACGAAGAATAAACAATACGTAATGTCATTGATTAACAAACACATGTTTTAAATTATTTATCTAATAATTTGTCAATTCCGTTAATATTAATCTACATTAATTAGAATACAAATAAACTCAAGGATGATATTTCTGTTTGTATATTTTTAAATTATTATATATTTTAAATTTATATTTTCAAACACATGATTTATCTAATAATTTGTCAATTCCGTTAATATTAATCTACATTAATTAGAATACAAATAAACTCAAGGATGATATTTCTGATATTTCTGTTTTAAATTATTATATATTTTAAATTTATATTT